AACAGGAAAAATCTTTCTTTAGTTACATTGATGTAGTTCTTATCAGTTAATTGAACTTATTCCAGTTTCACATCACTATAATTAGATGTGGACCTTGCTTTGTTGTATATTTCCTGTTTTAGTAATGAGGCTTTGATATTCAACTGTATTTGGTGTGAAACAGAAATATTTTTCTTGTTCGAATTCTTAGGCTACCATGGAAATACAGGGAAACCTTAAGGAACAAGTGTTCTGAAGCTATCATCGGTAATGAAGCAGGTGTGAAAGACAAGTCCCGTTTGCCAGGTGAAACGATGACTACAAAATCAGCAGTTCTCATGTTAGCGTGCTTTCTTCAACTATGTGTTGTAAATGGGCAGGTAATATGTGAGAGGCAAATGAGTGCTGAATGGCGAATGGAACCAAAACCTACTGTAATAAAATGGACACCAAGGGAAAATATCTGCTCAGACTTTTACACCGAATGCTGGAATATGAACAAAAGTATTACTGAGGAAACCTTGGAAGAACAAAATCTCAGTATCCCTCAAATATGTCCCTTAGAGCTTCAATTAGGTGATAGTCTCTTCATCTCCTCTGAGCCATCCTTTCAGTCCTACGGAATGAATTTGGTAAATGTCTCCCAGGAAGAATTTATTAACTGCCCTAAAGCTGATTCTCTTCAAGAGCAGTTGATTTTTGTTTGCCAGATAAGAGGACTGCACCAAATTGATCCTAACTGGCTTGGTGTTGGAACTCATTACTTTGCAGAGCTTCATAAGAGAGGCCCATTGTTGTGCAACATGGGCCTTCGTCTGAATGTAACTGTGAAGCAGCAGTTTTGCCAACAGTCTCCAAATGCACCACTATGCTCTGGGCATGGAAAATGTCTAAGCCATGTTTGGGAAAAAGCATATAATTGCCATTGTTTCTCACAGTATTCTGGAAGATTCTGTCAGAAATTTAATATGTGCTCCACTAAACCTTGCCACAACAATGCCTCCTGCACTGAGAAATCAGAACTTTCTGAAGATTCTTATGAATGCACGTGCCCTTCACAATTTTCAGGTATTTCTTTTCCCCTCTAGGAATAAATGTTATATAGATAATACATTTTCCTTAATAGACAATAAACCAGTGAGAACATAATTAGAAAGGTTTTTGCATAATTTGATTGCCCATTGCCACTTAAAGGAGACTGTGCAGTCATTTGAAGACAATTTGTACTTGCTTACATTCATGTCTGCATTTTGTGGAAAAACTGAATAAGTTCTTAACACACTTCTTTCCCACTTAAGTGGGAATTACCCATGAAATGTAGGTAAGTACTTGTGAACCTACAGAAGTAACTGATTTTTTTATTTATTTTTTCAGCAGCTCAAGTTCTTACACCAAATAACATTAATTGTTTGGAGTAAACTCCCCCCAGAATAGTTAACTAAACTGCTGAAAAAGGAAACAGCTTTGTTGAAATTAACATTTCATTCGATCTGCCACAAAATCTCCTTTTTCAATTTAAAGACCTTCAAATTACATTAGAGAAATTTTTAAAATCAAAATTTGTTTTTAATTGAAAAATCAAATATTTAATTAGAAGAGCAAGCAAACCAAAATGCTTACTCTTTTCCAGCAGATTGTTTTGCACTGTAAAGCTCTTTTCAAAAGGAGTTTGCTAAACATACTGTTACAACCAAATTAATATTTCACAAACAAAAGAAATTCACTTAATTCTATCCAAGAAGTATTGCAGTATTTACCTAAAACCCATTGAAGAAACTGAATCTGGATTTGGGATTGGACTGCCAGAGCATACAGTCTAATTAGATACATTCTTACCCAACCATTGTCTCCAGGAAGAAAAGAGGATAAAGGATATGAGTATATTGTTTCTGTGTTTAGACCAATGGAGTTCAGGAAACCTTTAGAAAGTATCAGAAATATTCATTCACATCACAAAAAGGATTGGTTTAGCTCTCTGTACTTGTGGAGCAGAATTCTGGTGATGTTCCTTTGGTGAACTGAACTTTTTTGCTCTTGCAATAGCGATGCTATGCTCTGAAATGCAGCTGATGAGTCAGGAACAAGTGAAGTTCATAGAACACAGAAATGAAGGTTATGTTACATAAAGTTTGCTGTAATTTATTTTTAATTGCTTTTCAAACTGCATAATAATTTAGTTACTAATGCATTTGCAAATAGAAGATTATGCAGGTATGAATAAGTCAATGTTATGATAAAAATATTTTTGTAATTATACAAAGTATAGTAAAATAGTGGAAAACATTGATGGTATGCAGTATGTTTTCTATTTCTTTTATGATTTCTGGGGGCTGTGTTGTGCTTTGGAAGTAATAATACCAAAAAATATCTGGTGCTACTTTAACTTAAACTAATGGATTCCCAAGTAATTCTGTTAAAAACAATCATCATGCTTAATGTTATGAATAAGCAATGCTTAAAATATTCTGTTAACCTAAATAAGATAGTGTTGGCTAATGCCATAATTTTGTACTGGCAATACTGGTCCAGTAAATAAACTATATGTAAATAAGAACTAGGAGATTAAACCATCATATATTATGGTCATGGCTACACAAGAGTAAGAGAGGAAAGAAGTGCCTCCCATAATATAAAGTCTATTAGAAATTTGAAAAGTTGCTGAAGTGTGAATTGTGTCATAGCAACAATTCAAGTGGCAAGCATAATTATACGGAATTTAGACCCATATGCTGTAATAGCATAAACAATTTATAATCAGAATTGTAATTTCCGGAAAGCTGCATATTAAGAAAAAGTTAGTTGAAATGAACTCCACATGAGAACATCTTCTGCTAACAATGCTGGAAGAAAATGTAAGCTAGATTCATGTAAAAAAGAAATAAATACTGCAGCACTGATCTCATTTCTGCATTTTAAACTATATGTGAATTTGTGACTATATGGCAGATGAGATTGATCACAGTAACTCCTATTACACCAGCTGAATATATTTCTGTCTTGCTTTAGAACTTCAGTAATTTTAGTGAAAACTAACAACCAACAAAAATAGGTAAAAATACCTATCTATGCTTCCACCTATCTATTAAATATAATGTTTTATTTCACATGTAAATTTGACATTTCAGGAAAAAAATTTACTAAAGTTCAATGTTCCTATTATCCCTTTTAAATAGGTAAAAATTGTACAGAAATAATTGGACAGTGTCAGCCACATACGTGTTTCAATGGTAACTGCAGCAATGTTACTCCAAATACTTTTCTTTGTGAATGTGACAAGGGCTTCACAGGTAAGAAATATGTTGTTTCCTGTCTCTTAATAATGATTTCTTGATTTATAATAATGGTGTGAACTTTTGCTTTACTGAAACTGTTAATTTAGATGGTTGTTGCACAGTTTCCACTTTCCTCAGATTATTTTTTTAAAAGAAAGATGTCAGACTTCTACATGACTATTCTAAAATACTCGTGTACTAAAGTAAAACCATGTAAATGATAGAGGCTTTTCATAGTTAGATCCCTTCCATGAGTACCTTTCTCCTATTGGCATTATGATAAAGGAAGACTCATAATCACTAATTCACTGGTTCTCAAATACAGTTTGCGAAATAGAATTAGAAGCTCTTGCTGGATGATTTAGAATGATCATGACACTTGTATTAATAATTTCAGCATCCTCTTAATAGATATACTAGAAAAATAGGACAGAAATTATTTAAAAAGTCAATAATCTCGTGATTTAATGGTGTATCTTGATTTTAAAAAAATGAAACAACACCACAACTCTCAGAAGTTAATCAGTTTACTTATGATATATTGGACATACAAGATGCTTTCATGAGAAAATCTTGAATCAGAAAATGTATCTAAAGCCATCGTGTTGTAAATACTTTTTCTTGGGGGTCAGGATAGCAGCCAAACTTCAAACACTATTTATTCTTGTACTTCACAGCAGAGATTTACTGCGTTGATATAAAATAAGTAGCAATACTCAGAAGAACATTCTTTAGGAATGATCTAAGTATAAAGCTAACACTTGAATACCCAAGGACAGTAAAACTTTTAAAAATGTCTCTTTCTTGGAAGCATCAGCTATCCCTGGCAATCACTGAATATAAATAAATCATTACGTTGAGATGCAGAGTTAAAAGACAAAACAAAGAAGAAAAAAAAGCATGACAGAGTAAGAGGGATCCAAGAGCCTGCCTTTATTTTCATAGTGAAAGACTGCATATTCTTCTTGATATTTTAGTTAAGTCTGTGTAGAACTATATATTTAAAAATAGGACAGACATGCCTAATTCTAAATTCCTAGTAAACCTGTTTAATATTATTCTCCTTTTCCTCCCTTTCCTTCACTGTAGAGGGCATTATGGTCAGAGTCATTCTGCAAAAATTGAAAAAAAAACCCACTTTTTTTTCAAAGGAGGAAAGTCCGTAAGTTTTCTAGAATTAGCTTTTCTCCTATGCATGGTCTGTATCTTTTTAGAACACTTACTTTTGTCTCTCTCACTCAAATTGTGCGGGCACATTGCTTACAAAATTTTCCACACAAAAATCTTTTGTATCCTTCCAATTCTGAACTAATGAGGGAGAGAAGAAGAGGAGAGAGGAGGAACACCCTTCTAGATATGATAAGTCCAAACCCATAATGTCATGAAAACAGTTCAATGAACTCAACACTGGTGCATGACAGCAATCACTGCAATCTGCTCTCCAGGTAGCTGGTAAGGGTTGCGAAGGAGAAAAGGAAATTACTTGCATGAATTAGATTCCTTTTCATTCTTTAGTTAGCTAAAAGAAAATCGAGAATCCTTTCTTGTTTCTAAGCATAATAAGTATTACATGAGGAGAAGGCAGACTTTTTGGAATTTACCTCATTTTTCCTGCTCTGATATAAATCGTGTCAGGTCCTTCTGTAAAAGGAAATTATGTAGTACATCAGCGTACCTTGCAATGGGACTGACTGACTAAAGTACAGTATAATTTTGCAATTATTTTCTGATCAAATGTAATTGTTTTAAATCTACATTTCTTCCTGTGGTCCTGTGTAAAAAAGTTTTCTAGTACTAAGGCAATTTCAAGAATAGTTACCTAAAAAAACCCAACCCACTGGAAATAGACATTTTTCTATTGTTATTCCACTGTGGCTGTATTGTGTTCACGACAAGATGAGCTGTGTAATTATTAATCTTGTATCACAAATGCTATTCTAAGTATATGAAGTTAGTAGCAAATTCAAAACATTCCTCTGTTTTGATATTGAATTTATGCACAGAAAACACAAACACCACCAAGATTGTGCAAATGATGTTTAAGATTTGATAAACTTTGACATAAATTTTTTTCTAAAATGAAGTAAGACATTGGCAGTAGCTGGTTTACATGATCTGAATGAAAGTATGAAATATTATTGTCACTGTAAATTGATGAGATGTAAATAAATTATAAAGTTATTTTATATTTATAATTGTGATTATTATTTACAAGTATTTATTCAAAGTAAATAAAGGTTGCTTTGCTCAACTTGTGTTCACAATGATAGAGTGGCCCTATTGGACTAGCAATTTGTATGTTCATATCAGTTCCGTATTTTTATTTTGTATTAATTGTTTAGTTCATTCACTGAGCTCTCTTCACTCTCTTCACTCTCCTCCAAAAAAACATTTTTAACATAGGAACAAAAAGGTAACATTAGGCATGCCATTATTCTTAATGAGTGAATATTCCAATTTCTATCAGAATTCTCACCCTTAAAACTTACGAAGAAATGTTCAGAGGAAGAGGATCTGATCTGGGCAAAACAAGGACCAAATGAGTTATAGAGAGGATAGAGAATATAAAAAAGTATTGTAGCGTGTGAGCAGTCACTGGTCAGTACACTTCTCTGACTGAGCCCTGCACTGAATGACTGTAGTTTATCCTTTCTTCTTATTAAATCCTTTCTTAACTCTCTCTCTCCATATAATCTCAGTCTCTTCCCATCTGTGAATGCTGTAAGGTCTAGATGTCAGATATTGGAGAGACAAAAGTGACTGAATTTGTGGTCTGCAATTGGAGTTAGACCATTGGGGATAGTGGTCCTGATGTCTGTGGTGCCCGCAGCTGGAGTGAATGAGAGTCTCAGGATCAGCAGCTGAAGGGAGACCACAGACTGTAGGAGTGTGTGACTGCAGTGAGTGAGTTTAGCGCCAGTGAATGGCATCAGACCTTGGGTGATGGTGGCTACTGTGCCGGGTGCCAACTGGAGCAGATGAGAGTCCCAGCATCAGAAAGTGGGGAAGGGACTAAGCGTGATAGGGCTGTGTGCCTGGGCATGAGCCACTGGGAAGATCAGAATGTTTGTGTTTTCTCCTAACCTGGTGTGTGTGCACATGTGCATACATGCACGTGAAACTCCTTAGCAAACTTCAAGCCAGACTATCTAGTGAGCAGGAGGCCTGGGATCTGGGCATCATAAGATGAGTTGAGGTTCCACACTGCTATTCGAGGAGTCCATGAATGTGTCTGTCCTTTGAAATGGAGAGTAAAGCCTGTGTGTATTCATTAGTGAACTTCAATCCTGATCAGTCGGAGAGAAGGACTGGGATTTTGCTGTTTGTCCGTAGGTTTTCTGCGAGTTCTGGTAGTATAATGTGTGGATGTTGTTAAAGGCAGCATCCTGTCTGTGAACAGCCAATGTAGCTGGCTCTTAGTGTCCTCTGCATGTGTATGTCTCTGGCATACACATACATGTTCAACTTTGCTATTGGTTGAGCCTGCAAACAGGAAAGCAACCACTGCATCCATCGGCCTAGGACAGAGGGATTCCCAGGTCTCTGGATGCACTGGGCTGGGCTCCAGCAGCTGGGAAGGAGGTTCCTCAGGCCCCAGAGCCCACCAGAGGAGGTGTTTTTTCTGCATCCCCTAACAAAGGGGATCTCTCAGAAATTCTGATGGATGTTGTGATCTTGTTCTGAAGATGCACAGAAAATGAATCTGACTTATTCACACCTTAAAGGAAATAACAATATCTTAACTACGTCTGTCACAATAATGCTTAGTGTGCTTACACCAGACAGCATTTGGTGGATTAAGAGTAGTAGTTTTCTATTTGAATATGTTTTGTTGAATCCAGGGGAGGCTTTTTACTCCTTAGATGGGAAGATGGGAGGTAAGGGAAATGATTAAAAACCCAATCCTCTGTAGAGCGTTTGAGATTATTAGTCTTTTTCACATAGTCCTGTAAGGGAGACCTACATTGCCTGCCTTCCCCAATGGTCCAATTAGCCTCTTTATAGGCCATAATGAGTTCACTCCTCACTTGTGGGACAGAAGATACTATAAGAATGAAATGGTTTTGCTTGGAGCCACTTTGCTAGAGCTTCCATCATCCAGGTGCTTTAGTTTAAAACAGTCTATTTGCTTAATCAGTCAATTACAGCTGGAGTTCTTTGAAAAAGGCCATAATTGTAAAAGGATTTCCCTAAATATGTATGGAGAGAAGAATTTATTTTTTGTACAATTAGTGTTTTAACGGCCTAATAGTTCAACTTGTCTAATACTAGCACTCATAGCTTGAATTAATACCCAAAGCCTCTATTAATAATACCCCTAAAAATATTATATAAAACCGCCTTTCTACTATTCACTTTTTACTTTAGTATTATGCTCAGCTCTCCAGTACTCCCCTTGGTCCCAAGAGCACTACATCACTCTCCCTCAAGAAGAGTGGGCAAGACTTGCAGCAAGTCATAATCACCCTGAGGTCTTCTTTGGGAGAAGTACGGAAGTTTCATGCTGGAAGGTTCTCCCCTGTCAGTCAAGGGTCCATCTCAGTCTACTTTTACATATTTTCCTATCATTATCTGCTACCTTCTCCTAGGCTGCCAGCTGCAGCTTGACAGTGGTCCCCAGCTTCTCCCCACAAAGGACTGTGGTTTGTCAGGAAGTGACTGATATGGGGATGGGGTCACCCCTACCCAGAGAGGCCATTCCCAGAGCTGAAGGAGCAGCAGAGGAGGCAGCAGTCACTCAGCCCAAGCAAAGAGATTAAAACAAATCAGGCAAGTCCTGCAACCTTGCCCTGTCAGGTCAGCACCAAGGTCAGTCTGGAGAGGTATCCCTGCTATGAAATTTGGTTTTTAGTGTTTCTCCAGGAGGCAGGGATGACAGCAACAGGGACACAGGAGTGGGGAAGAGAAGGGGGCAATTAGAGATTATGTTTTTCCAGGCTATTTTAATCTCATCTGTGATTTGTTTTGTTGGGATTTTTTATTTGTTTGTTTGTTTTGTTTTGTTTTTAATTGAC